GGAATGGAATGCAGTAATAAAAAAAAAAAAAAAAGAACACAGACGGCAATATTTAAAGGTTTATTTACAAAAAAAGGCATCACAATAGGTTCTGAGACTCACCTACAACATGGCTTCCGTCCCATCAGCTTAATATCATCCTTATCATCATTTTTTTTTAATAATGAAAAAAAATGTTGTTGACTGTGATCAGGGTTTAGCTTCTCAAAGGATTTTTTTCTTTCTTTCTTCTCTTCCTCCTCCTCTTCTCTCTTTCGCTTCTTTCTCTTCCATTCGCTGTCTTGTCTCCCTCTCTCTCTTCTTTTTCCTGTCTTCTTTCCTTCTTGCACGTCTCCTTCTCTTCTCTTGTTTATTTCTTCGTCTTTTCCGTTATCATTTTCTCTCCTCTCTCACTATTTCACTCACTCTTTTCTTGTGTCTTCTTCCTTCACTCTTTTTCATCTTCTCTCCCTTCCTCTCTTTCTCTCCTTTCCATCTTCGTAATATATATATATATATACACCCTCTTCAGCCTTTTCTTTCTCTCTCTTTCTATTTCCTTTGCCTTTACTTTGTCTATCTTGTTTCCACCTCCTCTTTCCATAGGAGGGGGGAGGGGTGGAAGGAGTCCTAGGGAGGGGGAGGATAAGGAAGAGGAGGAGGAGGAGGAGGAAAAGGAGGAGGAGGAAACAGGAGAGGGTAGGGGTAGCGGATCACAGGGGGGGGGGGTGTTAGAGGAGGACGAGCGGGATAGGTGAGCGGGATAGGTTAGGGGGGAGGGGGGCTTATACGTAGGATCCCCCTCCCCTTTTGTATCATTTACCCCCCCCCCACGCTGACTTGGTAACAACATCAAAGGCGCCAGGTTTTGGTATCGGAGAGCGGGGGTGGGGAGGGGGGGGGTTGGTGCCCATATAGAAGGACAGGGGGGGGGTGCCAATATAGAAGGTGAACAAATGAGGGTATTTTCACGAGTTTGATATTTATTTTCCACACACACACACACACACATATATATATATATCCCCCCCTTCAAAAAAATGTTCACTTTTATTTTTTTTCTTCTTTTATTCTGGCAACACTTGAAAGACACGGAGGCGGCAGGGGGGGAGGGGGTGGGGATGGGGTACGACGAAGATTCATACATATATATATTAATCCACAGCACTGAGATTAACCAGATAAATATCCTATTTTCCTCCCTTTTTCTTCAATCTTTTATTGTTTGTCTCTCATTGTCTTTCCTCCGGCCATTTTTGTTGTTCCAATATATTTTTATTTTTTTCTCCCCTTTTCCAATTGTCTGCCGAGACCTTTACAATAAAAGGCACTTGACAGTAATCCACATTTACGAAAATATATATATATATATACATATACATATAATCAAACTATAATTTATTTTTCAGCCACATCCGAATGCTTTCTTTAGCTTCTTGGCCAAATAAATTCCTCCTTTTCTACTTCTTCCACTGGACTAAAATAGATATACGATTATTTATGTATATATAATATAGAAGATACACTTCCTTAAGACTTTCATTCTTCTACGCACACACCGACAGAACTCTAAATATGTACACGTTGATTAGCACCACCAGAGGCCTAAGGCATTTTTCTCCTTCTGCATTTTTCTCCTTCTGCTCTCCATGTCCGTCTCTTGGTCAGGTCACCGTCCTTCGCCGTCGCCTCTGGGCCTATGTTGAAGACACGGAACACTTCTCTCTCTCTCTCTCCCTCTTCTCTCTTTCTCTCTCTTTCTGTCTCTCTCTCCTTCTCTCCGGTCTGGATTCTCTCTCTCCGCACTGTCTGTCCACGGCTTCCCCCCTCCACCTCAATTTGTATGCTTTTCTTGTCTCCTCCTTTTCCTTTTTCCTCCTCCTCCTCCTATTTATCTCCCTCCTCTTCCTCCTACCGCATCGCATAGCCATCCTCCTCCTCTCCGTCGCTCCCCCCCCCTCCTCCTCCTCCTCCTCCCCCAGGGGCCTCACCTCACCAGTAGGGCGAGTCGTCCACGCTGAGGTGGTTCCACGACGCGAATTCGCTCCACGCGTCCAGGTTCACTTGGTAGGCGTCCCTGGGCTTGGCCTCCTGCTGCTTGGCGCCCTTGGGCCGGAAAGACACCAGCACGTAGTTCAGGTTGTTGTTGTTGTCCCAGAACTCGGCGTCGCTGCAGGTGTAGCACACGCAGAACTCCAGCTTGTCCGCCTGGTTGGACGAGGGCAGCGGCAGGGCGAAGGTGAACGTGTCGTAGAGGTCGTAGGAGGCTCCCGTGGCGGTCGCGGCGGAGGGCACGTAGTCCGCGTAGACGTCGTCGTGCGCGAGCCAGTTGCTGGTCGTGTAGCGCACCTTCACCTGCTTGTGGTACGACAGGTTCCGGACCTGCGGGGGAGAGCGGGGTCAGAGGTCAGCCACGGGTCAGAGGTCTCAGAAGAAAGGGGAAGGGGGAAAAGGGGGAACGAAAGCAGTAAGAGAGATAGATGATAATCATATAACAACAAAAGTGGGAAGATTCTAAAAATTCCTATAACATCGTAAAGAGAAAGAAGGGCAATGATATATACTAAAAAACTGGACAAATAAACAATTGAACATCAATTAAACAAACATCTACAAAAAAAAATAAATAAATAAAAAAAAACAATCGGCACAACAAACGCACGAACGAGACTCAAAACCCACCTTAACCGTGCCGGTGACTCTGGCTTCGGACTCCTTGATCACCACGTTTTCCAGCGAGACGTTGTTGGTCTCTAACCGGGCCTTCATCCCCAGGTAGTCCGAGGCCGGCTGGCGGAAGGCGAGCTCCCACTGGTCCGCCAGCGCCTCCGCCTTGGCGCCGCCGGTCACCTGGGGGGGAGACGAGGACGAAGCCGTGGTCAGTGGGGGTCCGAACGCGATAGATAGATAGATAGATAATAGATAGTAGATAGTAGATAGATAGATAGTAGATAGATAGATAGATAGATAGATAGTAGATAGTAGATAGATAGATAGTAGATAGATAGATAGATAGATAGATAGATAGATAGATAGATAGATAGATAGATAGATAGTAGATAGATAGATAGTAGATAGATAGATAGTAGATAGATAGATAGATAGATAGATAGATAGATAGATAGTAGATAGTAGATAGTAGATAGATAGATAGAGATAGATAGATAGTAGATAGATAGATAGATAGATAGATAGATAGTAGATAGATAGATAGATAGATAGATAGATAGTAGATAGATAGATAGATAGATAGATAGATAGATAGATAGTAGATAGATAGATAGATAGATAGATAGATAGATAGATAGACAGATAGTATAGATAATAGTAGATAGATAGATAGATAGTAGATAGATAGATAGTAGATAGGATAGATAGTAGATAGATGAGGTAGATAGATAGATAGATAGATAGTATAGATAGATAGATAGATAGATAGTAGATAGTAGATAGATAGATAGTAGATAGATAGAGATAGATAGATAGATAGATAGATAGATAGATAGATAGTAGATAGATAGATAGTAGATAGATAGATAGATAGATAGATAGGATAGTAGATAGATAGATAGTAGATAGATAGATTAGATAGATAGATAGATAGATAGATAGATAGTATAGATAGATAGATAGATAGATAGATAGATAGATAGATAGATAGATAGATAGATAGAGAAGATAGATAGTATAGTAGATAGATAGATAGATAGATAGATAGATAGATAGATAGATAGATAGATAGATAGTAGATAGATAGATAGATAGTAGATAGATAGATAGTAGATAGATAGATAGATAGTAGATAGATAGATAGATAGATAGATAGTAGATAGATAGAGATAGATAGATAGATAGATAGATAGATAGATAGATAGTAGATAGATAGATAGTAGATAGATAGATAGATAGATAGATAGATAGATAGTAGATAGTAGATAGATAGATAGTAGATAGATAGATAGATAGATAGATAGATAGATAGATAGATAGATAGATAGATAGATAGATAGATAGATAGATTAGTAGATAGATAGATAGTAGTAGATGATAGATAGATAGTAGATAGATGTAGATAGATAGATAGATAGTAGATAGATAGATAGTAGAAGATAGATAGTAGATTAGTAGATAGATAGATAGATAGATAGATATAGATAGATAGATAGATAGATAGTAGATAGATAGATAGATAGATAGATAGATAGATAGATAGATAGTAGATAGATAGATAGATAGTAGATAGATAGATAGATAGTAGATAGATAGTAGATAGATAGATAGTAGATAGATAGATAGTAGATAGATAGATAGTAAGATGGAGTGACAGACTGAATGGTTGATACACTCATTGATGGAATGACAGATGGATTGACAGAAAGGGAGACAAAGTAAAACAAAAAAGAAGAAAAGAAAAGAAAAGAAAAGGAATTGCTTAAAACGAGAAAAAACGAAAACAAAAGAACGAGAAAAGACGAAGAGACTAAACAACAAAATCCCAAACAACCCCAAAGAGGAGAACGTCCCAACCCCTCACCCCCACACCCCACACCCCACCCACCCCCACCCCCACCCACCCCACCCCACACCCCCCTCACCTGCTCCAGGAAGTCGGCGGTCCATCTGGCGGGCAGTCGGACCGTTCTGTGAGGAGGCGGACTTCTGTGAGCGGGCGACCTTGGTCATCGGCGAACACCACTCTCTTTTTTAACCGGGTCGGCGAGACGGCGCCCTCCTGCTGGTTGTGGGGGGGGGGGAGAAAAGGGGGGAAGGGGAAGTATTAGATATCTGGCTGATCGATAAGGGGAGGTGATGGTTTATGGATGATTTGTTGATGTCAATGATGTAAAAAAAAAAAAAAAAAAAAAAAATCTATTCTCTAACAACAAAATATCACACACACACACACACACACACACACCACACCACACACACACACACAACACACACACACACACACACACACACACACACACACACAACACACACACACACACACACACACACAGACACACACGCACACGCACACACAAACACACACATCCTTCCCTCCTCCCTCACACCTTCACACCCTCCTCCTCGTCCCCTCAACACTCACCTCATACTCGTCCTCCTGGCGTGCGACGAGGCATGACTTGATGGGCTGCAAGGTGAGCGTGGGCGTCTCCACCACCTTCTTGGGGGGGGACCGCCTACTGCTCGCCCGCCTGTGCCAGAAGAAGAAGGGGGGGAGAATATCGTTAAGTCTTGTAATGGGGTTTTGCAATGGGTCTTTGCGTGGATATTAATCTAAAAAAAAGCCTTTCGTTATGGGTTTTCTAATGGCTATGGTTGAATGGATATCAATAAAAAAAAAACCTTCGCTTGGTTTTGTAATGTTTTTTTTGTAATAGGCTTATGGTTGAATATCAATAAAAACAACCTTACGTTGGGTTTTGTAATAAAGTCTATGGTTAAATGAACATCAATAAAAAAAAGACTTTCGTTGGGTTTTGTGGGTTTCTGGTTGAAGGAATATTCATTTAAAAAACACCTTTCGTTGGCTTTTGTAATGGGCTTTGTAACAGGTCTATGGTTGAATGAATATTAATTTGATAATAAGGCCTTCGTCAGGTTTAACGACCAGTTTATGGCTTCGTGGTTGAATAAAATGACAATAAAAATGTTCCCCTTCGTTAGGATCTGAAACCAGACCATCCTCTTATCTTTGAACCAAAGATAAGAGCTACAAAAGCGAAAAAAGGTGATAATAATAATAATAACTCCCATAACACCCCCCTCCCCCAACCCCTCCCACCACCACCCCACCCCGCCTACCCCACTCCCCTACCCCTAATAACTCCCATAACACCCCTTCTCCCCCACCCCCACCCCGACCCGCCACCCACCGACTTCCCACCCCCGCTACCCCCCGACTTCCCCACCCCGCCACCCCCACCCGACCCCGACCCACTTCTCCGAGCCCGAACTCACCGAAAAGTGTTTCTGGAGAAGAGTCCCTGGCTGTACTCCGACGAGCAGGACGCCGACAGCGGACCCCCGTCGACCCCGCTTCTGAAACTGCTGGGGAAGTGACTGCTGTGGCTGTGGCTGTAGCTGTTGTTGTTGTTGTTGTTGGAAGAGGAAAAGGAAGACGAAGAAGAGGAAGAAGACAAAGACGAGGAACCACTGTTGCTGTTGTTGTTGTTGTTGCTGTTGCTGAGGCTGCTGAAGTTCGCGTTGCAGTTGGCGTTGGCGCTGTGGCCCCAGAAGGTGTGCAGGGGGCTGGCCTGCAGGGGGCTGGGCTGGCAGGGGGCGACGCGGCCTGTAGCGGTAGTCTGGAGTAGTCGTGGATGAAGGGCTGACCCAGGTAGCCCGAGGTCAGGACCGGGGATGAGCCGAGGTACATCTCCACGCCGTAGTCACTGGGCATCATCAAGGTTGTCATCAGGCCCTGGGGGGGAGAGGGGGAGCTTAGAGGGGGTGCAGGGGGGGAGTGGTGGTGAAACTGATGGTGATGGTGAAAATGATGGTGGTGGTGAAGATGATGGTGTTGGTTGGTGGGTGGTGAGTTGAGGTGGTGGTGTGAAGATGATGGTAGTGGTGGTGGTGAGGGTGGTGGTGGTGAGGGTATGGTGGTGAGATGATGGTGGTGAAGATGATGGTGGTGTGCGTGGTAGTGTTGGCAGTGGTGTTGATGGTGATGGTGATGAAGATGACGATAGTTGGGTGGTGGTGATGCCAGTAGTGGCTGGTGGTGCAAAATGACAGTAGCAGTGGTGGTGATAATAATAACGGCGGCGGTGATGGTTGTGGTGGTCATGATGATGATAGATGGCGGTCGTGGTGATGATGGTGTTGGTGACCGATGGTGATGACAACTAATAAATATAATAGCATAATTAGTGATTAAAAGCGACGAGATACATAACGATGTTTTTAACTTAGACCCGAAGGCCAAAAGGCGAAGATAAAGGTCGTAAGGAACTCAATATATTGTAAGTCATCTTTGGATCCAAATGAGAAGAAATAAGAATATAAATATTTACGCAGATTAACCTCATGTCGACGTATTTACACACACACACACACACACACACACACACACACAACAACACACACACACGTACACATACACACACGTACACACACACACACACACACACACACACACACACAACACACACACACACACACACACACACACACACACACACACACACACACACACAAACGCCCGCCAAAAATATCTACCAAGAAAATGAAAAACCCACAAAACATTTTTCCAAATGAAAAAAAAAAAAAAAACAGAATCAGACACCTATGTGTTTTTTTTTCTTCACGCCCACACACGTCAACGCACGCCCACACACCTGTAAACGCACGCCCACACACCTGTAAACGCACGCCCACACACCTGTAACCTCTCCTTCAACGACCTACAGAATCCACTTAATTCAATGCAAATTAATAATAATAATAAAACAAAATAACCGAAATATCCAGGTGTGTGTGATAGAATTTACTTCCTTTTAAAAACATGTTTGGCATCATAACAAAACAGCCTCTGAACCAGATCATCAGCTGAGAATCGTAAGGTTCAATAAATCACTAGAAGTCTATAAATCACATCGCCCCTTTTCAAAACAAACAAACAAACGAAGCGATAATCATAACAAACAACCATAATTCATCCATAAAAAAACAAACACACTTATCTACAACATTCAAAACAAAGACACACACACACAACACACACACACACACAAAACATATTTCACAAAATAAAACCCGCTACAACAACAACAACAACAACCTTCCCCTCCTTCCCCCACCCCCTTTCCACGCCACGGAACAGACACAGAGACAGAGACACAGACACAGATTCAGACACAGAGACAGAGACAGAGACCCAGAGACAGAGACAGAGACAGAGACACAGAACCAGAGAGACAGAGACACAGAGACAGAGACCCAGAGACAGAGACAGAGACAGAGACAGAGAGAGACAGAGAGACACAGAGACAAGCAGAGACAGAGAGAGACACAGAGAGACAGAGACAGAGACGAGACACAGAGACAGAGACAGAGACACAGACACAGAGACAGACAGAGACAGAACACAGACACAGAGAGAGACACAGAGACAGAGACACAGAGACAGAGACAGAGACAGAGACAAAGACACAGAGACAGAGAGACAGAGACCCAGACACAGAGACACAGAGACAGACAGAGACAGAGACAGAGAAAGAAAGACAGAGACAAGACACAGAGACAGAGACAGAGACAGAGAGACAGAGACAGAGACAGACAAAGACAGAGACACAGACACAGAGACAGAGAGACAGAGAACAGAGAGACAGACCGAGCGAACAGGACCACTTAGCAACACCGACGGAGAAATGACATAGACCAAATCAGCTTCTCCGGGTTTTATTAACCTCTTATATAATCTCTCTTATCTCCGGGTGGGCGATAAGGATGCTGATAAGAAGGAGGGAGATAAGAGAACACGGAATAACATAGGAAGGGCCAGACGGAGAGATAAAGTGAGAGACGGGGATAGACAGAGACGCAGATAGTGAGCGAGAGGGAATGAGGAAGTGGGAGAGAGAAAGAGGAAGAGTGAGAGAAAAAAGGAAGAGGGAAAGACAGAGGAAGAGAAGAGAGAGAAAGAGGAAAGAAAAGAGGAAGAGGGAAAGGGAGGGAAGAGGGAAAGAAGAAGAGATAAAAAGGGGAGAGGAGAAAAGAAAGACAGAGAGAAAAAGAAAGAATCTTATCTTTCTGTCCCATCCCTTATCACTGTATGACGTCATTCCCTCGTGGCCAGACATAAATGAAGACAAATTAATCGGCTCGTCTCTTCAACTCTCTTCCTATCCTCTTCTCTCTCTCTCTCTCTCTCCTCTTTCTTTATCCCCTTCCCGTTTTTATTCCTTGTCTTTCTATCTCCCTTCTACCCTCTCTTATCTCCATCCTTTCTCACCCTTCCCTCTCTTTTTTCCTGTTCCGATTGCCCATTCTCTCGTCTCTTCCTCTCCTTCTTCTTCTACCCCTTCCCTTTCTTCTTTCTTCTTCTCCTCTTCTCCTCCTTCTCCTTCTCTTCTCCTTCTCCTTCTCCTTCTCTTCTCCTTTCCTTCTTCCTTCCCTTCTCCTTCCTTTCTCCTTCTCCTTCTCTTCTCCTTCTCCTTCTCCTTCTCCTTCTCCTTCTCCTCCTTCTCCTTCCCTTCCCCTTCCCCTTCCCTTCTCCTTCTCCTTCTCCTTCTCCTCTCCCTCCTCCTCCTCCTCCTCCTCCTCCTCCCTCCTTCTCCTTCTCCTTCTCCTTCCTCCTTCCCTTCTCCTTCTCTTCTTCCTTCTCCTTCCCTTCCCTCCTCCTCTCCCTCTCCCCTCCTCCTCCTTCCTCCTTCTCCTTCTCCTTCTCTTCTCCTTCTCCTCCTCCTCCGCGTCCTCGTCCCTTGGAACAGCGTCACCTCCCCCCCCCCCCCACGGCCGCCAGCTTGCAATATTGTGCGAATTGCATCACCGATAATGAACAGCACGACAGCAGAGTGGGATCAGACGCCTTCGCCCCCCCCCATCTCTCCCCTCCTCCTTCCCCCTTCCCTCCTCCTTCCTTTATCCTTTCCTCCTCCTTTTAACTTCCTCCCCTCCCCCCTCTTCCTTCTACTTCTTCCTCCTCTTCTTCCTCCTCCTCCTCTTTTACTTCCTCCCCTCTCCCCTCCCTCCTTCATCGTCCTTTTACTTCTCCCCCTCTCCCTCTTCCTTCATTTCATCCTCCCCCCTCTTCCTTCACTTCTTCCCCCTCTCCCCTCCTTCCTCTCTTTCTTCACCCTCCTTCTACTTCCTCCCCCTCTCCCCTCCTCCTTCTACTTCTTCCCCTCTCCCTCCTCCTTCCTCCTCTTCCTTCACCCTCCTTCTACTTCTCCCCTCCCCCTCTTCCTCTACTTCTTCCCTCTCTCTTCATCCTTCCTCCTCTTTTCTTCATCCTCGTTTTACTTCCTCCCTCCCCCTCTTCCTTCATCATCCGCACCTCTTCCTTCTACTTCCTCCCTTCTCCTCCTCCCTCCTCTCCTTCTCCTTCTTCCCCTTCTTCCTTCTTTCTTCGATCTTCCCCTCTTCCTTTCTCTTCCTCTTCCCTTCCTCCTCCTCTCCCTTCCCTTCTTCTCCCTACCTTCCTTCCTCCTTTTCACTCGTCCTTCGGGCTGTGTAGAGAGGGATAGATAGATAAATAGAAGAGAGAGAGAGAGAGAGAATCAGAAACAAGAAAAAAAGCCAGAGAGACAGCGGTCAAAAGGAGACACCCGCGTCTTCCTCCTCCCCTCCTCCTCCTCCTCCTCCTCCTCCCTCGCCGCTGGAAGGAGGGAGAAAACGGGGAGGAGGGGAGGAGGGGAGGAGGGGAGGAGGGGAAAGAGGTGAGGGGGGGAGGGGGAGGCAGACGACCCCGCCCGCGACCACCCAGTCTCACTCTCCTATGAAGGTCGTAATCTAACATCACTGGAAGGGTTGGGGGAGAGAGGGGGTTGAGGGGGAGGGAGGGAGAGGGAGTGCGGGAGGAAGGGAATAATCTCTCCTTCTTCCCCCCTCTCTCTCCTCCCCCCCTCCCTCACTACTAACCAAATTACGTACACATTTCTGTGCCTCTCCATACTGTGTTAATTAGTTTACCTTCCTTTTCCCTCTCCCTCCCTTCCTCTTCTCTTTCCATCTTTCCCTCTCCCCCCTTCCTCCCTCCCTCTCCCCGCCCTCCTTCCTACTATCTCCTCCTCCTTCCCTACCTCCTACTCCCTCCTCCTTCTTCCTTACTCCCTCCCACTTTCCTTCTTCCCTCCTCCCTCCCTCCTTCCCTACACTCTCCTCCTCCCTCCTCCCTATACTCTCCCTCTTTCCCTCCTCTCCCTCCTCCTTCCTCTCCCCTCCCTTTTCCTTCCTCCTCCTCCCTCCTCTCCCTCTCTCCCTCCCTCACCCCTCCTCCCTCCCACCTTCCCTACATCTCTCCTCCCTCTCCCTCCCTCCTCCTTCTCCTCTCTCCCTCCCCTCCTCTCCTTGCACAAGCCACAATGACCATTACAAAATTTCCCTCAACCTTAACACAAGCCGAAGCGGAAGAGCCACAAGCAAGGATTTTCTCCCTTCCTCCTTTCCTTCCTGTAATGTGATCCTTCGTCTTCGCGCTCACAGGCCAAGAACAAAAAAAAAAAAAAAAAAAAAAAAAAAAAAAAACGTCATATAACTTCTTAAATAAAAAATAAACATTTTTGTCACGTACGTATGAGAATAATTCGAGAACAAAAGTTTATAATTCATTCAAAAAAAGATAAATAAAAAGATAATTCATTTAAAAATAGATAAAAAAAAATAGAAATAAAAAAAAAAAGGTCTTGGGTCTTCCATTCACAACAAACAGGAGATAAACAAGCAA